AAAAAAACGTTTAAAATAAAAAGGCTCATAAGCAATGCGTTATATTCTACACTGATTAATGTTACGAGCGGAGTCACTGAAGCGAGAGAATATTTAAAGTTTCGAGGAGAACATGCACGATTTCACGAACATTTGCATTGCACATTTTCCATCTTTGGCTAACATCTTTGAGTTGGTTCATGACGCGGGAAAGAACACGGGGCTGAATGGAAGCTAGTTTACTTCATTTGCCTGGCTCTCTGTCGCCAGATGTGAGAAACAAGTATAGGACTCCACAACGTCGCATTACGGAATAAGTCAACTGAATCCCAACAAGTGATCAATCATTTATAACCACTTAAGTCAAGGAGCCATTTAGTGATATCTGCCTTGTTGGCTCTCAAAACAGCCCTTCGGTACCCACAACACATGGTTCTTAAATGCAGATTTCTCTATTTTTATTCAAAACTATTTGGAGTTAATGTACCATGACAAAACGTTGGCCAGCACCATGTCATAATGTAAGAACTAAATTGATCATTCAAAACTAACTCGGGTATAAAAGAGAAAATTAGCGGCAATGGCTGGGCTATTCATTTGAAGAAAGAGATCCAGTGTACGAAAGAGCGATCGATAAGTTCACAAGGTGTGCACGTCCTAAGGACTCCTTCCCTTCTTAGTCCGTCCACCCCTTCCACCCAACAGGCGTCATCATGTTAATCATACAGCCACAGGCTACAAGCCTGATATTACTTGTTCATTATCATGTTGTGATACAATTTGTGACTTTTAATTCCCTTGAATAATCTATAACCAACATATAAATTTAATTGTTTCGGCGGCAAAATTCGATTAACGGTTTTGACTCGAAGAATTTGTCCTAGATTTGATTAATTTTCAATTTTTGTGTCATCGTGCAAAAGGGCCGCACATCTACGCATAATAATTAAGAAAACCGGCGTGGTGGGCGCATTAGGTATGAATACGTCAATACAGTGCTACAAAAGGGCCAGATGTTATTAAAGACCGGCCTCCTCAAAGCGCTGCTCCCGGCCACTTTTCTGCCATAAAGCAGTGGATTTTCTAGCTTAACGGCCAATCTACATAATGCAGTGTTAGAAGTTGGAAATCCCAACGAGAAAAGCTTGCAGACTTTCTACTTCAGTGAAAATAGAGGGCATGTCTATCCGAAAATAGAGTAGAGTGGGTGGATAAATCACAAAAAAGAGCCACCCCCGCAGCACTTTACGTATTTGATCTTTTCACTGATGATCCTTGAACGGGCGAATATAAGCACCCGGTTATTATGCCGCTGTTTGTGTAACCAGCCATGTTTTAGCACACCAGAAGTTGAGCATTGTCATGTCTGACGATTATGTCTATAGAAATGCCAAACACATTGATTAATTTTTCTAATGTTGGCGTTTTAGACGTACAAAATAAACTTACCATGTGACTGTAGGTGACAAGCCTAAATGAGTGCCAAATGGATCATCCAATACAAGTTATACTTCAGACAGACTTTAATTTTGCAAACCTGTTCTGTTCAAATCCAAGAGATTACAGTTTACAATGTTTAGTTAAACCTTAATGTAAATATCTATGTAACTATGATGCAGTCACGTGTGGCACACAGGTCGAAGTGGAGGCCATAGAGGTCCTTTGAAATCAATTCCGTTCTCTGCTGCTTTCTGGGAGCGGGAAAAATTCAAAACTTCTCCCCCACTGCTACATGCCATCCTCGATTCCCTCTTACTCAGTGTATGCGACTGCTACTTATTACATTACTGTCTTTAATGCATATTACAGGGTCGTTCTGGAAAGAACAGATAAGCGTCAGAAATGCAGTTACCACAGCTGTTTTGGCCTAATAACTACGGAAATCACGTATGTTTCCATATACAATAGATTGCAAAAGCAGAAGCTCACTGAGGCGCTCCTTTGGGTATCCTGATCTTTTCCAATGGAGGGAGGTTGAAGGAAGGAACGGGGGGTCAGATATCAGTTGTTAGTTGACCCAATCCAGGGCATCTTTCCTGCCAAGACATCGATCTCATCGGAGCAGGGCAGTGGTCGGTGGCGGTCCTGCCTCGGCTGGGTGGCCCTCCAAAGCATCCGCTGTTCAATTATCTCTGATCTCCAAGTTAAAACTTAGTCATAAATTTGTTAAGGTTAAATAAAATGATTCCCAGGTGAACACAAGTTCTCACTGTGTATACTCTTCTCTTTGTTTTTCACGAAAGGTTCTCAGCGGTATGAATCACTTCAACGTCATTTTTCAGTGGACTTCAAAATGGTAGTCCCAACCTAATCCTTCGAATTATACTTCGAAGAATGTCTATCATGGTTCGCCGAATACTTCTCATTTTCCAGCAGTAAATTATTGGATTGAGCGCAGAGTTAAGTAGGACCAGTGTCCATGAAGACACGAGTATCATCATGAAAGTATGTTGTTGATGTGGATGCGTTATAAACTGACGTAAACAGCTGACAAAAAACTGGGGAAAATAACATACCCAAAATGCAAAGTGAATCCAGTATGTGCTTTGAGCAGATTTGTTAAGCGTGGCATCTTTTATCATGATATGGCTGTTTTGAGCTGAATGTGCTCTAGCCTGAATTTGTAAGTTTTGACGTCTGATCGTTAAATAAACCTTTAAAGTAAACCATGTGGTGGAAACAAAGCAAAATAATTCGAGTATGAAAAATATCACAAAAGACATCTTCTCTGTGAGAAGGAACACATTCGCAAGTCCAAGAAATGCACTTAAAAGCCATATTGCAATGACCGTGATAACCACTCGTTCGTGAGTCACCAGTTGGTGATAACGCAGAGGCTTCCAAATGGAAACGAATCTGTCTGCACTCGCGGCCGTTACACCACAAAAAGACGATAGAAAGAGGACATTGGCAACAATGGAAAAGGAAGTACGCAGTTTATGCAAGTTGCCGTGTAGTTGGCCCACTCGCCGAACGATATACAGCGGTTGACCCAGTACGCCAACACTAAGATCAGAAACAGCAAGATTTAAAAGCAATGTTTTTAAATTTTTTGACAGCGAAGGCGTTTTTCTCAAAGCTTGAATTGCTAGAATGTTCATCATAATGGTTGGATAACAGAGACAAATGTTGAGGATAGCATTAGCCATAAGAACAGAGTAGAACGGATCTTGTAGAGTCTTCGAGCTTGAATTATGTGATTCCGTGCCAGGGAGTGAATTACTCATGATTATCTCTCAGAAAAAATAGCTGAGTCACTTTCAAAATGATTCCATGATCGTACTATATTTCTTGAGAGATGAAGCACTGCAAAATAGTAACGTAAACCGGGGTCTTAACTGTATAAAAAAAAAAGGTCGGACCGGATTCAATTTGCGTGAGTTAAGTTGCTCAACTAACAGAGGTTTTCCACAGCTTAGAGCCAAGCCAGGTCGGTTGATCTCGTTTTAAATAAGTCACAGTCCAGCATTCAGAGTTAAGTACTTGAAGTTAATTTGTACTTTTGCAGATGTACACCGTCTGCAGAACATGTAAGACAATGCAAGCATGACGAGAGAAAAGGAAACTGTCAATGAAACTGTCCATCATTGTGTTCAGGTTTTCATCGAAAGGTAAACTTTGCTATTTCATTGGCTATAATAAGGTAGTTAACAGGAACTTTCGTGACATCTGCCTTATTTTTGCTGAACCCAAGGTTGAATAAATTGTTACTAGTTATTTTCAGGAGACAAAAGTCGACTTATTTACACAGTTGACAATGCTAGGGCAATTACAGAAGGCAATTTTCTACACTGAACAGATGATGTTTTCTCACAAAGGCTTTTTTCCTGTTACAATTAGAAATGACGACCCCTCTTAAGTTATGCACTAAGAAAACAACCTATACTCTTCTGATTGGTCCTTCCATTGAGAATTAAATATTAAAAAAAACCCAACAAAACAAGACAAGTTCGACACGTAAAGAAATCATCGAGGAGTACCATCCGGCACGCACGACGCCGACTAAAATTAAGGATAAAACACGCCACAGTCCTCAGATATAAAGGCACAGACAATTATGTCTTCACATGATTTTCATGTTCTTCTTACGTATAATACTATATATTTGGGGATTCGTGACAAACTCGAGGCTTTTAAAAAGGGGCGGTGGTATCTTCTACCATTAGATCATCAGTTCCTCATTACATCTGTTTGAATTTCGGTCAGTGTGAGCGAGACTAACTTTAAGTCTCGAGTTCAGAGGATATGAAATCAATGGGAAACGATAAACCATCGGAAGATACCTCTTACTTCGAACAGAAATCATGCAACTAAAGACGACTGAGACAACAGAAAAGTTATACCAGTCCAGCTATTGGACATCATGAGGATCTCCTTTTTAACGCAAAAGCACACGTCAGTGTATTACGGGCTTTTACATTTACATTTCCATTGAAAGATTTAGCCCATGAATATATTACGAAAGAAGGTGAATTCTGAGCCTGATCTTCTGAAAAGAAACCTCGAACCTTCTTTCGCGGAGCGATACTCTACCACCGAGCTAAAGAAAAATTATGGATGCATGAGCTCGATATATACAAGGTTCTATTATTTCAGCTCAATATCTGATTACACAGAAAAAATTTAAACCGCGTGTAAAAGCGGAGGACACTTTAGAAAATGTAGGGAGGTCGTCCATATTCCAAACTTAACTTACACAAATTGAAAAAAAAGCTTTATCTCGCTGGCTTCAAATGGACAAAAAAGAGTGTAACTTTCAAAGTGTTGAGTGGTGATTTCTGGGCCGCAAATCAAATCCAGTTGGCAGCTAGAAAATCGGTTCTAAGTCTTCAAAGAAAGAGTAAGGCAATAGCTCAGAGAAAAACGAAATTTGATCATGGTTTGGTAAAGAATACTTAAGTTTAGCATCGTTTAGATATGGGAATAAGCCATGGGCCTCAGTAGCTTTTTGAAACGTTGGCTTTGTGAGAACGATTTAAACCAACACTTCGTTTAAAAAGTAAATAAAGAAAAGATAGCCATCGCAGAGATGGATAATTTTAATATTTTTTTAAAAGCCAACGATCTTTTCCATCACTGTAATGAAGACTTAATTCCTTTTTAACTGATTGCTGTCAGTTTGTTGCTTGCTAAGTGTAATTAAAGATTGTAAAATGGGGCGTGGAACGCAAAAAGGCAAATAAAACTGACAGAAATCGTTTAAAACTTCAAACTGCCAATAATAAGTGTGTTTTAACTAATTATCCAGACCACAGGATGATAAAAGTTTCTAAAACGCTCGGACTGTGAAAGGGTGAATTTGATACGCTTGTAAATGTCGCTCGTTAATGAGGAGTCGGACCTTTCCATTAAGACGTCGTTATTTTATAAAACACGTTGTTATTCTTAAGTTAGAGGATGCATTTTAAAAGCGCGATAAATAATCACATTTAAAACCGGAGGTTAAACAGCTTTGAACAGCTGTGCTGAGCCTTATTGAACCTTCTCGTTTGAGAGTCTTTACAATTCTTAAAAGCGCTTTCGAATTCACCAATGTAGGCTTTGTTGTTTTAAATCATGACAATAGAAGGAAGAGGATATTACATGGTCGGTTGGAGTTGGAGTTATATTCTTTTATATAATGGTATTTCTGTCTCAAAAAATTAATCTTCCATTAAATTTCTGAACTTATTGCTATGCTTTACGGGAGTTTTTTTTCTGTCGCACGAAACGAACTGTGGTGAAATCCGTAAAGAGACTTAAGATCAGAAAGCAAAGCAAATGCAATATTTTTGTGCAATGTTGAAGCAATTTGAGAGAAAAGTCTAAGCTGAATCAGTTTAACCTCTTGCAGTTTCCGGCTGCACCACAGTTGATCATGCAAGATATCCCAGCCTATTTGTAAACATGAGAATCGCTGTATTTTATCCATTTTTATCCACATGTACATACCCTATAAGATATCAGCTTTCGTCTTGTCGATTTCCTTTTAGACTTATGATCGTTTCTGAGGCCCTTCACTTTCTTCAGCCACGAGAGCCTCACCCCACCCCTTTTCAATTTAATTCATACTTCTAGTTCTTTCTAACGTTTCTCCTTACTGTACTTCACCTTCTCCTATGCTTTTCGTTAAGTACGCGTTGCTTTAATGCATGCGATTTTGCGGTTTTTAATTCACCAGCTGCCTCGTCCTCTTTTAACCTTCTCGTTCATGACGCTTAAAAGTTGATGAATATTTTGATTTTTCTTTGTCTGAGTTAATAATACAAGAGAACGTTTCACCTTGTTTTCTGTGAGTCATCTTCCCCGTTTAAAGAAGTATATCGATTTTAAAATATTTCCTCATCAGGGCTCCCAAACTGAACTTGTCAAAAGTTTCTCTTGCCTTCCCTTGGCTTCTTTTCAAAAAGCGGCTGATAAGATCCCCATTTAACCTTAATGCCTCGAATGCAGCGAGACAAGAAATGATGGTAAGAATATTTCCGAAAAAGGTCGCAGAGTTTTCCATCTTTGTTTATCCGTCAAAGCTGTAAACCGATCTTTCGCCTAAGTTGTTGCGATTAGTTATTTTTCGAAGGATTCTTAGGATGGAGGGTCGAAAATGCCTGATCTTCCAGCAGTAGATGACCGGATTGAGGGCGGAATTTACAAGTACAAGAGTCACCGTGAACATTCTTAGCTCTCGAGGTGGAGGAATAGATTCAACATAAACATAAACATATACAAAAAAGTAGGGCAGATAACAAACCCAAAATACGAGGTAAATCCAAATAGTGCTTTGAGCGGATTTTTTTATCCTCGCCATATTTACCAGGCCGTTATTTTGTGTTACATGCTGTGTTTGAGTCTGAATTTGAATGCTATGACGCCTAATTGTTAAATAAATCCTGAAAGAAGTTAATGTGGAAGTAAAAAAGGACAGCGAATGGATGGTGAAAAAAATTGCGGTAGAGACACTTGGAAATTTTCGGCTTATCACGAGGACATCGATCGGTATAAAGACTACAGTGGTTAGCCATATTGCCATGACAAGAATCACTACTCGTCTGTGGGTCACAATTTCTTGGTAACGAAGAGGCCACTGAATGGCAAGGAATCTGTCTGTACTTAAGGCTGTAATGCTGCAAAACGAAGTTAAAAAAAGGATGTTGGATACGATTGTAGAAAAATCGTCAAGAGTCTTAGGATTCTTGGATCGTAAATCCTTTTCAACCAAGAAGGCGATGTACATTGGCTGACTCAGAAGGCCAGCACCAAGATCAGATACAGCAAGGCTTAAAAGCAATGTTTTCAAAGGTTTTGACAATGAAGAGGTTTTCCACAGCGCGTAGATTGTTACAGTGTTCATCATAGTGGTGGTATAACACAGAAAGCCAGCGATGACAATGTTGGCGACTACAGCAGGTAAGTGCGAATCTGCCATTTTAGAAGGTTCACTGTCCTCTGTGTAATTCATGAATTAGCTGGCATAAAACTGAAAGATAATGAATCGGGTTTTATCCAAGAAAGCGCAGAGGATTGACAAACCGTTTGTGGGAGGCGCGAATCAAAACTCTGTCCAGCGAACTTTTACGGGTGATAAAAGTGTCTCTCGCAGCAGAATAAAGACAGATAGAGGGTTTTACCAAGTCTAGTGGAACTCGTTTAAAGCGCGGACACTTTTTGGAAAATTGACCTTTTTCTGTGTGAGTTCCAGTTCAAAACCTCTAACCTCTGTGAGTTCAGAGGACCTTTCTATTCCGTTCCTGTATCCCAACGAAGAACTAAGGAAAATCAAGGACTGAGGCGAGGTTCAATAGAACTCGAGTGAAGCTGAAAAGCACTGTTGATCTCTTCTTCGTAAAGGTGGAGACTTGATCCGAAATGTGTTGGATGCGATTCAAAAATTACAGAGTCAATGATTTGTACGCGCCTGGCCCACACGCGTCTTCTTACAAGTTGGAACGAAGAGAAATCAAGGCCGAATTAGGCACAACAAGTCTCAGTCAAGCTCAATGTTCTAAAACAGAAAAATGACGAAAAGCGTCCTCTTCCAGGAGGAAGATGATGATGGAAACTTGGACCGAAATCTGTCGTGAGGTTGAAAACTTAAATTCAGCCCCAGCCAGCGAGTGCAAATAGTCCTTAGATGTGTTTCTACCGAGAGAAATCCGAGCGAAGTCGACGATTGAGCAAATTAAGCCGTAGTCGAACCTCTCCTAGGCGCGAGAACAGCGTTGTCTTCCAATTGGTAGGAAATGAAAGAGGAGATCGCCGTTCATAGCTTTATACACATTCGAATGTGCAGGTGAAAATCTTATTTATGTAAAATTTGCGAAACCGATATAGCAGTTGTCAGAGGACGGATGACACGTCCATTTGTGTTTGTTGAGCTCACAAAATCCTGCTATTTGATTGGTCAACTGGATGCTTGATAGGAATTTACATGAGGACTTTCATGACATCAAAGTGTCAAGTGATAAAATGCTTAATCGCAGATATTTGTTAATTTACGCCTCTCAATGACATATCTTGAGAACCGAGCTGACTTTCCATCCGCAATGGTCGATAAACATCTGATAATCGTTATCTATGGACTGGTTTTATCGGACCTCGGTTAAATAAAGAATCCTAAAAGACGCCAATTCTAAAGAACATATTTACGGGCTATGTCAATCGATCTGGTTCAGATAAAATGTCTTCCGTTGTCATATAATTTTTCTTTTTTTAGAAATTACTCCGGCTTCCAAGCTTCACAATTCCTGTCAAGGAAGTTTCTCCGGGAAAAATTCAAGTTAACTGGTATTTTTTCGCTCGCTGCCGGAGACGCCAGCCTAATTGATGCAAAAAGGGCTTCTTTCCAATTTCCTAAATTGCTTAAACAAAAAAACCTCCTTTTCCTTTTTCCGGAGACACTGTCGCTTCGGTTGCACGTTTTCACCAATTTAATCGATCGCGAGGCGCTTTTCGTTTCGCTTCACCGTTGTCAAAACATGTGTCAAAAAAACATCCTTGATCAAAGTTTGCCGAAGGTGCCTCCTCAATTTGCAATGGAAATTCACTAAACACAATAGCACTGAGCTTGTTTTTTTGAGAGTAAACTTTTAAGCTATTATCTGTCAAGCAATGGACGTATACAATGAAAATAGATAGGAAGAAGGAATAAAACATTTAACCATAGGAAAATTTAAAACTTTGGTCGGGATAAAAGTAATAAGATTTACTTTGAAGAAATTACCTGAGGGCCAGTATATTTATTATTTAGAGTCTTTTTGTGTTAGCTGTCCGATTTGAGACTGTGTTTGCTCTTTGAGACGTCAGAATACGAGACATTTCGTGGTGATGCGGCAGAAAGTAAACTGACTCTATGGTGATAAGCCGGTATTGCGAAATTTGTATTTCGTTGGAACAACTCAACACCCAGTACCGCACATAAATGTAATATTTGTTATCTTGGAAACATCTGAACGGTATTGAATCGATTGGAAACAAATTAAAAATGTTTTATTTTCCGGCCAATTTGAGCTCTTGTGACTTTGATGATGCTAGAAACATACAGGTCATGTATTTTGAGTGTTACTTACGGCCTATCTCGCTACACGTTTTCTCATATCTCAGTTGTAACACTTCCGAGCGGTAATCGGAAAGTATGCAGCTCCAAAACCTTCCAAATTACGGTTTTTTATTTCTGGCCCATGGTCGTGAAATATGAGTTTAACATTCTAAGTTTCTTTAAATGGAATTTCCTTCTTTCATTTTATAAATTTTGAGACTTCAAATATCATGATTGGCTTTCGACCGAGTTCCTCTCAAGCTAAGTAGAAAGATATTTGGTGGGAAGAAAAAAAATCTTGATACAATTACAATAGATAAACATCGTAAATAAGGTCGTAACCAGGTAATAAATCGTTTCCACATGACTGCCTTTTTAAATTTGTGGCTTACGTAACCAAAGGGGTACTGAGACCATTTATTTACTCAAGTTTGCAGGTTGAAACCTCGTATTATTTTTCGTATTGTTCTGAGCACTTGCATTATGATTGGTCGACTGGAAATCTACGCCAGTCAATACGTCAGTCAATACGTCAGCCAATAATCTGTTAGTATCATTATCAGCCGAATCTTCATGCAGACAAATCAAATCAGACAACGTTACTTACGTCGAGCTGTTGTGGGCTGTGAAGAAATGTGTTAAGAATAAAAAAGTGGCAAACGATGGAAGCGCAGCCGAGTGTGCCAAGGATGTTCCTACCATTTAACTTCTTCTTTGATGCATTACTGTACAGACTCAGAGCAACATGGAATCTGTCTGTGTTATGTTAAAAAACAACAAAGAATTGTTAAGAGGCTGTCCGCTTAAGAACGGATAAGGCAAATTTCGGCCGATCACCGATTTCCCTAAGTTTTCAGTGAAAGTCGAAAATTCTATCCCATGTACAAATATCACATTTATTTTGATCATTTTCATTCTTTTTATTTTTTATGAGACAATTTTAAAGGTCACTCCAAAACTGCCCAATTTTCTTTCTGTGACCCCTATAATTAAGCTATAAATATCGAGCGCTAGCAAATCCTTATTTCCCAATCTAGAAAGCTGATTATTTTACATATTTAAGAATTACTTTATTTCAATACTTTAAAGGTAAAATGATTGAATTCTATAAAATTTTTACCGAGTTATGAAACTGTCCAAATACCTTATCGTGA